AAAGGCCACAAAGGTGGCCAGATAGTCGTCATGGATAGGAACACTTTACATCGATGGTGTCACTAAAACTCTTAAACGAAGGACCATATAATCCGACTCCTAAAGATCCTTCACCTTCGGACTTGTCAAAAATAAAAACTGCGATCAAATGTTCGCAAATCATTTCAGGCAACTTAAAACATTCACTTATCCCATCTGTTGCGAATTGTGCCAGATTATATGCTCTTCCCAAAATTCATAAAAGTGGTATTCCTTTCCGCCCTATTGTATCAAATTTAGGTACTGCCTCGTATCCATTAGCTAAATATTTAGTTTCTAGATTTTCAACTCTATTGGACAATAACATTTACACCATAAAAAATTCAATAGAGTTTGTAAAAAATAACATTTCTCCTAGTAATTTACTCATGGTTTCTTTTGATGTAAAATCATTATTCACCAATGTCCCAGTGGAGGGTGCATTAAGATGTCTAGAAACCAGACTTCGCGAATTTCATTTCTCTTGCATCGAAATTGATGAGCTAATTTCTCTCACTCAACTCTGTTTGAAACAAACACATTTTGTTTTCCAAAATAAAATATTACAAGCAAACTGAGGGATTAGCCATGGGAAGCCCCCTCAGTCCCATCCTGGCTGATATCTACATGCATTATTATGAATCAAAAATTGTTTGAAACTTTAAACTTCCCGGCATGGTTCCGCTACGTAGACGATACTTTTTACTCTGTTTGAAGGTAATAAAGATGATTTAAATAAAGTTTTCTTTCAACAATGAATTCTATTGATCCTGCTATTCAGTTCACTTTTGAACTTGAGACTTGCAATTCTCTTCCGTTCTTTCTCGACATTCTGGTCACACGTAACACATCCAACTTCAGTACTACTACGGTTTACCGTAAACCTTCATCGGTTTGCCTTCCACCACACTTTAAATCATGTCATCCGACTAAACAAAGTTAGCTTCATTTTATTCCTATGTTTTTCCGTGCTCTTCAAGTTTGCTCCTCCAAACTAGCCCTTGATGAAGAACTAAAGTTATTTAAAAGCAATAGCTATCGACAGGGGCTTTCACCCAACATTATTAATCAAGCAGTTAAAAAATTCTCATCTCAACACACTAAAAGGCACACTCTTGTTTTAGGAGATTATAAAAATTCTGTTGTCATTCCCTTCTTTCCATCAATTAGCTATAAAGTTGCACATATTTTGCAGAAATTTAACTTTCGGGTTGTTTATTCTCCCATCAATAAAATTCCGAGTTCCATACTCAAGGACCCCATTCCGGATATGAATTCCTGGGGTATTTATAGGATTCCTTGCCAGTGTGGTTTAATTTACATTGGCCAAACTAAGAGAGCCTTAAAATTTCGCGTCAAGGAACACGAGGCATATGTTAGAAAAAAGGAAGCACAGAAGTCTTCTGTTGCTCAACATTGTTGGTCCGAAAACCACACTTTCAGTTTTTCTGCTGCCAAAATTATTCAAAAAACATCTTCCATTGGAGAACTGGATTTTCTAGAGGCATTTCACATTCATAAAAATCTTTCTGTTCTAGTTAACGATCCTAATTCCAATCCAAATTTGCCTTCGGTCTTTAAAGAAATTACGTTTTAGTTCTGGTTTCGCCAACAGATGGCGCCACTTGCTTATTCTTGTCCAGGCTTTCTTATCTTATCATTATTTCCTATCTGGTTCATTTGCGGTTTTGCAGCTGAAGATGGTGGTTCGGTAAAACCATCGAAACTAGTCCTGTGAAAATTTGGTAAATATAACGCTGATTTTTGTTGTTTGACTTCTGATTTAGTATTTATTCGGCGTGTTGTTGTGTCTTAATAGTAGCATATGTTTAGAACTGCCAATGCAGTCTTAAGTGTTGTCATTCATTTTCTTTATTTGTTTTCAATCTTTTCTGAGTTCAACATACCAATATTCAATTTTTCTTATTTTAATATGGTTATCAAAATGTTTTTGTCTCCTTAAGTGTTTAATTATTATGTGATAATTTTATTTATTAACTGTCACTTTCTTGGAACTTACACGACATAAAAGTTAATTTAAATGCAATATCAGGAAATATTTAAAACACCATAAATTTAAATTTTCGAAAGAGAGTTTTAAAATACAGGAAAAATACGAAAAAAAAATATATATGACAATTGCCATACATAATTTTATATTCGGTAGGTTATTTCTTTAATAATCAGCTGCTCGCGCGACCGGCCGCCTGAAATAGTTATTATAAAAAAGAAAAAGTACATCTAGTATCATTTCATAAAAGTATTGAATTTTTCTAATTAGACATCTTATGATTTTAACACAGATGTATTTAAATGAACCAAATTTAAAAATGTGAAAAAGATATTCTTAATATTCTTGATTCTTAATATTGATATTCTTTATTGCTTTTAAATCGCTTAGTTTATTACTCAATAACCTTTCAGATTAAAGTTGAAAGTATCTTAAACTTTACGGAATGATAACATGTTGGTGTTTGAAAGATAAAAGTATTTTATTTCTGTCCGCCGCAAAACATTGTTTTCATACAGCCGAATTTGTTAGTTAAAATTGAAAGTTAAGTATATTAAATTTTTCAAAGGGCAACAGTCTGTAGCTATTGAGATAAAAATGTTCTGCTTAGAACAGTGTTGCCACAGTTAGCTTTCGAATCGTTGAGCTTGTTAATCAAAACTTCATTAAAATTTTACAAAATATGAAATAAAAATGTAATAAAGCAAATTCGAAATGGGGTCTTTCTGGTGTACATATTCGATGGACGACCATGTTTTTGAAAATTTGATGAAAAATGACGATTATTATAAACACTTAGACTACCTTAGATTGTTGTCTTTGAGGCGTAAGGCGAGGACGATTTTTACATTGGTGTGGGTGAGTCGAAATCTGGTTCTTTCTCTGTATACTCACCAAGTAAAGGAGGCTATATGACAATTGGAAGCAATTGCCATGTTAGATGGTTCCACGTCTCCATTTCTAAAGTGTCTATCGTAAGAAAATATGCACTTTTAACTTGTCTGAACGGATTTTTTCCCTTTGTCTTAAACAACCCAACTATAGCATAGCCCGTTTAAAATAGTTCGATGATACTGCTAGTCGAAAGCACCTTGTAGCATGGTGCACATTCATTTGTTTCTTTTCAACTTCGAACAAATTTCAGTCTTCGAGAAAACATTTGTTCTTACCTAAGAAAATACTTAAAGTGGGCAGTGTCTGCAAAGATGTAGTTATGACATCGATCAATACCTTAAAATTCAAAGGACACTCTTTGCGATTGATTGACGTTCTGGCAAAGTTTAAAACACTAAAAATATATACTGTCATTTTCGCATTATCTTCGTTTAATACAGGTACTGATTACATATCGAAGAATTAAAATTTGTATTAACAATTCAATTACAACTCCTAAATTTTACAAGACAATCACTCAGTCTACCACGTTCTTTAAAGATGAAATAAGTTGGAAACAAGGAGTGACGTACTTAGGCATCATGCTTCATAATAAAGTTACTTTTAGACCTCACTTGCCAAATTAAGAAATAAATTAAATATTTCAATAGACCTCTTGCCTTAGGACCTATTTAAAAAATAACAATAGTTATTTTACAATAAAGTGATATTAAATAAAACAATAGGCATTCCATATATACTTTACTCCTCCTATATGGGGATATGTTGCAAAAATCTTTATAAATGTTTATAAAATGCAAATTCCACAAAGTAAAGCCCAGCATAAATTGCCAGCGCTTTATGGTTGATGAAAAACAGTTCGTTATCGATTTCAAAATGAAAATCATTAGAAAATTCAATTCCAAAACTGCTCATATTTTTTACTATAGCATTAGATACCATAAAAGCACCCTTAAGTTGTGCTCAAAATCATTACCCATGGCCACAAGAAAAGGTCGCGGACTCGGTTAATACTCCTCTTCTGTTACAATTAACATCATTTTAAAATGGCACTTTGTCTTCTTTCACACAAAGAAAAATTTAATTGTTCTTCATGACCGTGCCAATGCTAATTAGTATACTTGACTCTCGCTACTTGTAACTGAATAGAGAAGTGTACTCTTCGAAAGTTTTAAATATTCTATATTCTTTTTAATTTCTTTTTTAGTGGCTAGACCCTATGAATGATACGAACATACTTGAACTTTCGTTTGATATCATTTAAAGTTAAATGCTAATTAAACAACCTTTAAACGTAAAAAAAAAAAAAAAATGCTACGTTGTGCTTTTGATATATTTCTTTGATTTGCCATTTGTTAAAATATGTGAATTTTACGTTTAACAGTACCAGACACTTGTCACATAATCTAAGTAAATGTATTTGCTGAATCACGTATGTAAGCAGCGTCTTTAGGGAAATTTATTGTCAGTACCCGTGTTTTGCTTTCGCAGTTAACTTCGCGTTTATTTGTAATCTCTACATATAATAAAAGAAAGAGTCTGTGTGTCAGTGTGTGTCTCTTTCGTTCGCGCTGCGTAAGCTAATAGACCCACGGCTACGAAATTTGGTACATACGTGCATCTAGACAAGAGCCAGTGCACCTCGAAGTGATTTTTTCGAAATTCGAATTCGAATTTTTTTATTTTATGTTTTGTGACGAAATCGCGTCATTTTGAGACATAATGGGCTATAAGAAAGCGAGATTTTACTCTACACACTCCATTTTCACATCGTCTTGAAACGTTGGCACTTAGCTATTTTACGAACTTAACCCATTAACTGCCAAATTTTTGTTTCATCAATTTTTATCTTATTTCTGTTAGTTTACATCTAATAATAAGAAAAATATGTTTTTCTCTTAAATGCGTCAATGGGGGTTTCAGAAATTTTAAATTTAAGTCCGATCCCCAAATGGGGATCATGGCTGATACTATCTACTTTTAATGCCAGCGTTCAAAACAGTCTACGTGTAATCCAACATTACATTTGCCACGTTGTTTTCTTGCATTTGTTTTGCACACTGCACATTTTCTTTGTTTACCATTTTCGGTCCTGTTCAATATAATGAATTACCAGATATTCTGATAACAGTAAAGGAACACAATTAATTGATGCTTTAGTGAAAGAATTCCTTCCATCCTTTTTTCCATCTGAGAGTTCTGAAGATAAAGCAAGATACCCTCTAGCAACCATCCTCCTAAAATCTAGCAATGTAATTTTATCATTTGAAATACAATACAGTGCGGGGGCATTAACCAGTGTTATGTCGATGGCATTCTTAAGAAAAGTTTTACTCCATTTCGCTTCCCCCTTATTCTGATTCTGTATTTTTTGAACATGAATATCTGTCTTCTCTGTTCTACTCCATCGCTTCATCTTTGATATTGGTTCGATAGTTTCATGATTAGACAGAAGCCTTACACAACTGTTGTCATTCCACGTGACAGCTAAAATTTCATTACGGGAATCAAATCTGTAGTCATATGCCCCGCGTTCTTTTTTCCTTATCTCTTTGTCTGTTGCAATAGGGCGTTTGTTCATTCTGTTGAATCGAACAGTTCCTGTTGCTCTAACGTCAATGTCCTGCAAATATTTCATCAGAGAAAATCCCGTGAAAAAACTGTCGAAGTAAACTTTATGAGGATGTAGTGTCAAGAATAGATACCATCTGAAGGACAACAGATGTCCCAAGCCCACTAATGCTTTCATCATCTCCTAATTTCTTTGATTTGCCTTCGTACAATTGAGTTTGATAACAATATCCAGTCTGTGAACAACTGATATCCCATTGCTTGAACCCAAACCGCACTGATGGCTTACCACGTATAAATTGTTTGAGGTAGTGATGGCCATATTAACAAACCATTTGTTCGTCAATGCTCAAACTTTCAGAAAACACCCCAAATTGTTGAAATTTGTCATTCAACTTGTCAATCAATGGGCGAATCTTGAAGAGGTTATCACGTTCACCTAGTGGAATCCTTTCTAAATCGGAGTTGTCACTGATATGTAGGTACCGTTTAATTTCCAGATACCTATTCCGACTCATGCATGCTATAACACACAGAATGTTCATGTCTTCATCTTCACACCAATATAATTGTTCTTGCGGAAGTGAATGATAGCCAGTGAAAAGAAGTATTCCAATAAATATTTTAGGCAGTTATTAGAAAGCTGAGATGATTGTTTTTCTGTCTGTCGTATATTACAGACTGCTGGACAATATAGGTGACAGTTTCATTATCAAAAAGTATTTCAAAACACTCTACTGGGGATTTTCCCCTGAGTTTTCTAATGACATTATTTCGCCTTGTCTCTATAACGTCAGAATTTTCATGTAGTTTCGAGTACTTAGGTTGATTCTTTTTCCAACTGGAAGTCAATACTTCTTTTCTCTTTTTAGCAGGTAGTAAGCTGGTACCTTTTGTTACTTTCATTTAGCTGAAGATTCAGTTGCATTCACTAAAACATTTTGCCTCAAATCCTGCCACACGGTGAATTTCAACACACCCGGGAACATCAAGTGGTTCTTCATCATCAATTACGTTGTCATCCATGTCCTCATTATCAGAAATTTCATCAACCCGCTTTGGTGAAATTTCAACAATATCTATGGGGCTATTATCGTCGTCATCGTCAGATACAAAAAAATCATCAGAATTTACAATTTCTTCTGTTTCTTTTAAAAAAAGATATCTTTTACGCGACATTTCCTGGAGAAAAAGAAAAACAGTTATTTTTACAATTTTAGTCAGTATCAGCCATGATCCCCAAATGGGGATCGATATATCTAGGTTCATTGTACCCATCCAAATTACAGTATGAGGCTAAATAATATATAAATACATTAATTACTTACCAATGATCAAGGGCAAATTCAGTACAACAAAAATAGTTGTTCCTAAGTAACTTTTTTGTGCTTTGAAAATAACCGTATTATTTTTCTCGTGAAAAGTAACGAGAGAACAAGAAAAATAAACTCGTGAGCTCAACTAACTGAGTCCACGTGTTTGTTTAAGATTTTCTACCCTTAGTTGCAATCTTCAGGAAAGCATAACCACCCGTAAGGGACCACCCATGTGCAGCATGACGTCACAATGTATACAAATGTAGGTGATCCCCATATGGGGATCATGGCAGGGAATAGGTTAAAATAGATTTCGTGTTTCAATAAATCGATTAAATACGAATTTATTTAACAAAGTGAGCTTGACGAAACCTTTTCAACAGGATTTTTTTCTAAAAAAGTTTATTTTTAAAAATGTAATTTTTTTTTTTTTTTAATTTAATTTTTGGTCACGTTAAACTTTCATCCTTGCGACTGCTTTTACATAAAGAATTTTGGAAAAATGATAATATTTTGTTTTTTTTTTAAAAAATTAAATGAAGCTACGAGTACACTTCTCACATCTCACATCTTTAAAGATGTGATTTTGCAACAATTTTCCTTTCTTATTGTTGTTGATAGATTTTTGATGAAATCGCATCATTTTGAATACTTTTATTCTTTTAGAAATATCATATTTCTTATGTCACTTTTTTTAAGAGATTGGCATAATTTCATTGTCATTTTTATATATATGTAACAATTTTCCTTCTTATTGTTAATAAATTTTTGATGAAATCGCATCATTTTGAATAGTTTCATTCTTTTAGAAATATGGGTTTGGCAACAATTCATCGTATTTCTTAGGTCACTGTTTTTAAGAGATTGACATATTTCGTTATCACTTTTTTATATATATAAAACATTTTTATTGATTTTTTTTTGAAAAAGTTGTTCTGCAGAGTAAAATTCTGCGCGGAATTTTTTGTTTCTTTCATGTTATTTTTTGGTTATTTCACTGTTTGTAAGATATTGAAAAGTTTTGCATGATTTTTTTCCTTCAACGGAAAGTTGGTTAATTTTTTTATATGCAATATATTTTTTAAAACATTGTGTTTTTTTTTCGGAAGATGTTTGCAGAGTAAATTCTGCGCAGATTTTAAATTTAACGTTTGGTGTTTCCTTCAGGCATTTTTACGGTAGATTTAACTAAAAAAATTAATTTTTTTTTAAATTTTGATTGGAAATCATAAAAGCATAAATTATTAATGAAAAAAAATTCAAGTGGAATTTTATAAAACTTCACTTGAATTTTTTAGTTAACATTCTGAATAATTTTTGCATTTTATTGGGGATTTTTAAAAATGATAATGGCAGTTGCTTCTCATCAACTAGTAAGCCTCCGACCCTCTAACGAATAGAATAATGAATCGTACCTGTATCCTTCTTAACATTCAACACTTGTTTTCAATTCCTAATGATCTGTCTCGAATAATTTTTTGAGGTGTTAATATTGATGCGTATTCGACGAGCGCTCGGAGATAATTAAACTGTTTTAACTCCTCAATATTGATATCAACTCATCGAGCGAATGCACAGAACTAAAATATTTTGACTCTTGAATGATTTCTCTCAGATTGCTTCTGAATATTCTTACTTTCGAAAGCAATACTAGTAAGCATAATCACTAATCATCTGAATGTGTCCACGCTATACATATTTCCTTTCTGCCGTTATTTCTACTTCGACATTTTTTTTCTCTTCTTCATTTTTAATTATGTTAACCTAAATCATAACACTGCTAACGCTTGAAGTAATAAATAAATTAACAATAACTAATGAAAGAAACTCATGCCTTAACACTCGGTCATCTCAGAAATTTTTAACACTAATGTCAAAACAGCTCGCAAATTGCAAATCGTAATAATATGATTTCGATTGTATTTTTGGAAACTTAAAATTTAATTTTAAATGTATAAAAGTAATATATTGTACGTTTTCCAAAATACAAGATTCCGTTTTAAATTGCTTTAAAAATTGTTGCCATCTAGAGCTTTAAAAGAAAACATAATTAAATTAAATATTTTAATACTTTCCCGTGCTTTCAAGTACTCAGATAGTACTTTTTTATGTTAACTTTTCGTACAGACTTTGTGAGTAAACATACCAGAAGAGTAAGAAAAATAACCAAAATTTGGAACTTCTTTTTTACAATTCTATGCAGTAATAATTTCTGCAAATGAAGATATTAGGAACAATTCCGGATGGCATCAATAATCCGGATACTTTCATTAATTTTCATCATAAACTAACGAACAGGCTCTCCAAACGACAGGGCAGTGGCCAAAGCAAAATTTATAATTTCTTTGTACACCTGAAAAGAAAATGTATAAAAACATTTTAATATGAATGAAATCAGTACATTCTTTCCAAGCAATAAACATTTCGTAAATAATTTTTGTTATTAAAACAAAAAACAAAAACATTTGGCACTTCAGGTATGCTTATAACATTATGATTTAAATTTAATATAATGTAAACAATAAAAGAATTATTGTGGCAGTAACATACCGTGTCAGTTATCCTAACTTGAAACAAAATTTGTCAGCAACAGCTATTTATTTAAAATGCCAAAAGATTTTCGACACACAGTGACGTCACAAGCAATCGCGTGCTTTCTTCAATGTCAACATATGATCTTGAGTTTTATCTCCAGCGAGCGAGACTTACTACTCGGAAAAATATGTGGAAAAACTAGCGTTTTCAGAGTTTTAAATTAATATCTCGGCTGATTAAAATCGTACGCAGAAGAGAATGGTCGAAATGGCTTCCCACGAATTTTTGGAATTCGGAAGTACAGCTCTCGAAAGTGAACTCCCCGCCGTTCTGGAGAGATGATGTCACAAAGAAACAACAGACAGACGCGCGGAGATTTTAATAATATCGATAGGAATAGCAGGGACAGGGAAAAGTGGACGGAGCACCAGAACTTCGTCAGTGACTTTTACAGGTGTTGCTCCGCCGCACTACTGTACCCCGCTGGGCTTTTAGTTGGCCCGCATCGGATGCTAGCCTACCAAGACATTTACATAGTAATTTTACATTAATATTAGACTTACGTATTGAATATACAATTACAAAGACATAGTATACAATTATTGCAAGAAATTAACCTATCAACAAAAGTTGGATTATGGCAGATTGAAATAACATAATTACTTCGAACATACATACAAACTTTCATTGTACATTGTACTTCATACAAACAATATATTTACATTAGTATATCTAGTTACATCTAATTAAAATAAACATCATTTTAAGGAGCTAATTGAAGATATATATATATATATTTATATTTTTTGTGCATTTTATCATACTTAGTTGAATTACTAAGGCGAATTCTCTTATTAATACATTTCCTTTCATTTTTTTAACTTGTTACACACAAATGCATCAGCACTGAAGTCTTACATTATTATTTTTGTAAATTAATGTATCATAAATACAGAAAATATACATTAGAATATCACATAATACTTACATTTACACTAATATATCTAATAGAGTCGTATATTATTTACATTATTTTTTAATTTAATTATTACACTAATACAGTCCAAATTCTTAATGTAACTATTTTATAAAAACTATTTATACCATATTTAGCCTGTTTCAGACACTTGCAATATTTCTGAAATCTTGCATTATTTTTGCAAGTTGCAGAATAAGAGGTATTTATACAGATGCGATAGCATCTTGACATATGTCTTCTCTTTTATATGCAAAAAGTTTCTTCATAATCAAGGAAACCTTTTGTTGTAAATGAGGTATCGTTAGCATGCATTTAATGTACTCAGGCGTAATTTGTGACCTTCCTTTGCAG